GAGTGTGTGTGTGTGTGTGTGTGTGTGTGTGTGTGTGTGTGCGTGTGTGTGTGTGTGTGTGTGTGTGTGTGATTGAGATTGAGATTGAGACACAGCTGGCCAGGAGGGGACAGAGGAGGAATGCCTCCCCAGCACCTCTGTGATGCAAGAGGTGCTGGGGATGGAGCAGGAGGAGGGAGGCAGGCTCTCAGCAGACCGTGATCTTTGCAGGGCTGCTGCGGCGCCGTACATGCGTTTACTGTAATGGCCCTAATATGACTAAAAAGCACAGAGTTGCTGCTTTCACAACCTGTTTTAATTCTTTCAGTTGAGGTCCAGGAGTTACAGATGTTGGAAGAAAAGTTGCAAACACCTGTTTGACGCCAGCAACAGGTTTAGGCTTTCGAGGGTTAATCAGTCCGTTCACGTGTATACGTGTGTTCTGTGTCGGCTTCTTTGCTTTTTACAGTCAGCTGGTGGCTTTGATGTGTTTCAGGATTTGAGTGACATTTCTATACAAAGACTGATTCACAAAGATAGCTGCCAAGAGCACAGTGGCAGCACACAATGCACTCAGACTGGGTGCTTTTTGTAGTACGAGTACTTTTGAGCTGATTCAGTTGACTTGCTTCCTAAACCCTTGGGTACATTAATGGGTCCAAGTAGTGTTTATTGATAAATTACATCATAAAGAATTATTGTTGAATAGTTTCCAAAAACAAAGCGAGGCTATCGTCTCTTCCATTCTAGCAATGGTGTCGACTCCCGACAACAAGTCCAGTCGTCCTGTCAGTGCCCCTGTTATGTCACCAGTGTCACCTGGGGAGGCCACCCCGTCACCCCTGCTACCCACCCTGCCTCGTTCTGACCACCACGATGTCTCCACGCCCAGAGGACACCGATATTCCAGCAGAAAGGCAGAGCTACAGGCACAATGCCTGACAACTGACAGCGTCAAGAGCCACAGTGCCAAGTCTACTCCAGAGATTAAGGTAGGGGATTACCACCGAGCCTTAACTCTACTTATTATTGGGAAAAAATACCTCAGCATAATTTATAATCTGAGATTCACAAGACCAGAGCAACCCAGAGAGGAGAGAGAGGTTCAGCTTGACAGACACTGGGTGAGCGCTGTACATCTACAGCACAATTCCTGTATAACTTTGTATAAATGAAGTGATCACATCTTAGCTTTTCTCCTCTCTCTTCCTGGAAAATACGGCCCCTGTGGACTCAGTGTCCTTTGTTTAAAATGCTGATTGGAAATGAACTGCTGCTTGTCAGTTTATGCTAACTTGCCTTCAGTTGTGCTCAGTAGAAGCTGTTGTACTACGCTGGACTACAACTTTATTTACATTTGCAAAGTGAACACAGACCAGCGCTCTGGCTACTTCACCCTTGGTTGTAACTATATGAAGGCTGTTGTCCTGTTTTTCCTGAAGCTGATCCTCAGCATGTGAGTTTTGTTTAATGTACTAGACGGTGGGCAGGAGAGAGCGGAGGCATGCCCCGTCTTTGGCCATCACTAATGGGGAAAAAGAACGAAAAAGCCAGGTTTGTTTTTCTTGTACATGATCAGACCTGCTGCATGATGGATCAGACCACCTACAGATTAAAGACGTTTTTATAACTGGATCTGCATATGCTCGTATCGTGTATAAGAAATATCTGTATCTGTGTGTGTGTGAGTGTGTGTGTGTGTGTGTGTACTGAGTTTTGCTGAGTTGCAGTAACATGTTCACCTGTGTTTCCTCTGATGGGAGAGCAGCACTCTCTTCAGGACAGAAAGATGGAGATGGTTCGAGTGAGGAAGGTTAGCGTGTCACTGCTGCACTGTGATCCCTGCATCAGCTACACATCAGCTCATCTTTATTTTGACACAGTGATTTGCTGCCTTGGTTGTTTCATTATTTCTGCTGCCTGCTTCCCTGTGAATGCTGCTGTATTTTCTCTGAGCTTTTCTGAAGTTGAATCATAAATCATTCAACTTTGCAAGTTTGAACTGTATCTCTCATTGCCTGCAGCTCTTGGACAAAGTGGTTCTCTCGTATTATTACTGTTATTATTATGATTATTGTTGTTATTATTATTATATTATTGTAGTAGTTTCTTTCTTTCTATCTGTAAGTGCTGGATGTGTAAATAAGTGTGAGCCTCTAAAGTGGGCTAAAGTGGGCTCCTATAACCAGTGTAATGTGTTGGGACGGCACAGCCCCAGTTCCAAAAATGTCAGGATAAAGAAAAAGAGGGAAACATAAACAGGTATTTTATTCACAGTAAAACATAAAAGACCAAAATGTTTAAACTGAGACGTTTTCACATTTGAATGAAAAACACTGGTTCTGTGTAATATGATGTAACACATGTGCACAAAGCTGGGACAGGAGCGTGTTTGCAGCTCTGCAGCTGCCTTTCCTGAGCATGCTGTGGAGCTCTGTGGCTGCTCGGGAGTGTTTTTAGTTTTGTCATTACGCGGCGGCCCAAATGTTCTCAGCTAGGGATGGGTATCGTTTAGGTTTTATCCGATACCGGTGCCAAATCGGTACTTTTGAAACGGTGCCGGTGCTCAAATGGTGCTCAAACCGGTGCTTAAAGAATGGAGAACACAAAATTGGTCCAAAAACCTCTCATGTTCAGCTGTTTTTTTGTAAAAAGATAACAATGTTAGCCTTTTCTGCAGCTATGGGGCATATATGGTATCACTCTTGGCTGGAAGCAGTGCTTAAACAATGGAAAAAACACAAACTTTGTCCTAAACCTCTCATCTTTAACTGTTTTCCACTTTTTCTTTGGTCATTTTAGCCTTTTTGGCCAGGGTGAAGGGAGTATCTGCCATCAAACAAGAAGACAGCCGCATGTAGCTATGATGATGTTTGCTAGTTCACCTTACATGCATTAATGTAATAACGTGGTTAGCCTACTCAACGTAAATTACACACGAACAACATGAAGCTACTCATGCAGAGAAGAACGGCTGCTGCATCATCATCCTCATCATTTCTGCTACACTGGCAGGGCTAGGGGCCAGGACTCTGCTCTTCGGGTTTTTGGGGGATGTTGCATAACAGGCAACCCACCCGACGTGCACGATGTGAGGTCTCGCAGCAAGCTATCATACGGCGCATTTCTGGGCTTTAAAAAAAACAACGCTATGTGTTTCATCAGATTCGAGGTGTTACCTCCTTTGACAGTATCACAGTATCAGCTTAAAGCACTTGTTGCTGCTGAGTTTGCATCTTTTGCTGTGAAGTACAGCCAGACTTTTCGCCTTGGACATTTTTAATCTGTAGCTCTGCTCTAACAGAACGTACGTACCTGGCCCCGCCTACTATCCTCGGAAACGTAAAATGATTGGCTAGAAGTGTATCACAGCTCAGGAAAAAAAAGCACCGAAAAAAAAGCACCGAAATAAAGCACCGAAATGTGCGCTGCTTTTCGGTCTGGTTACTACCGTTTATGTCAGAACCGGTGCCATCATGTCACCGGACACCGGTACCCATCCCTATTCTCAGCTATTCAAGGTCTGGATAGTTCAGGACAGTCTGGACAGTATGAAGCCATGTTGTGGTAATACGTGCAGTTTGACCTGCTGAAATATGAAGCTCTTCCATGATAACAACATCTGGATAGGAGCAGATGTTACACTGAAACGTGTGTACCCTAACCCCTGTACCATCAGGGATGCAGGCTTTGGTTGCTCTCCTCTTTGTTTCTATGGACTAGGTTCCTTAGTCCATTTAATTAACCTTTGCACAGAGACGACTTTAGCCTTTCTGCATCATATTCACACACGGCTTCTTCGTTGCTTGACGTAGCAAGCCAGCAGCTTCCTCTTAGTACCACTGACTTTTCCAGCCTTGTGTTGCCCTCATGCCAACTTGTTTTTGGATGTTTTTCTGCCATCAAATTCAAAAGGAGCTTATTTTTCATAAAATATTAAGACGTCTCAGTTTAAACAAACAGAGTAAAATATGTGAGAGTTGAAAATCATTGAATCCTATTTATACATTTATTTACATTTCACATAATGTCCTTGCGTTCTTTGGGCTTTAAATTGAAATATGATTGAAATGTTTTCATGTTGCCTTCTCACCATTCTGACTGTCCACACGTTTTAAACTGAATGCAGATGTATTTAAATTAAAAAGAGCTAGGCTCATGGCATGGAGAGGCATTCAGGTATTTTCATCCATCTACGAGACACCTGAAATAGTCACTGAATAGTGTTTGATTTTTTGAAAGCATTAGTTCCAGATCTGACTCAGGAGACAGGCACGCATCCTCCTGCACTTCCTGCACACCGCACTGCCACTGCAGCAGTTTGCATGCACAGAATGTGCCTTCCATAGATGTGCAGCAAATATGCGACCTAGTTCCCCTGGGATCCCTACATATTTCTGTGTGGACACTCTGCCACATCAGGTTATAAAGCCTTCCAACATTAAATCTGCACCGACGATGCTGTGAGGCTGCCATCCATGTTTGTGTCCAGTATATTTCACACTGACTGTGTCAGCAATGATCAAAATGAAATATTGATTTAGTTCTATTAAGAAAGAAGAATAAGATCAGTGTTGAACCATCGGTGCATTTAATAACAGGTGATGGATCTCAGTGCATTCAGCTGGTAGCGGTATAAATCACTGCAGAGGCTAATAACAAGCCAACTTCCTGTTTTAGTTGTAAAAAGCGAGGTTCCTCAGAATCTCCGGTGTTTCTGCCTTAGTGCAGTTAAGAGAGCCTTCACCAGCTCACTGAGTGTGGGGATGGAGAGGAACTGGGTCCCAGCCTGCTGCGTCAAACACATGACTGTTGTTAACTTTACTGAGCTGGACGCAGTCGGGCTGCAGCCTGCATTGTTGTTGTGATTGCACAGCTCGTTTTTGATACGGCTCATGTCATTGGTCAGTCGTGCTCATGGGACACTATTCAGAATCACATGTGAAATGTTCAAACCAGTTGTTATGTTAAACCAGTGTTTTCCTTTTTCCTCATTTCCACAGAAAAGATCAAAGAAACTTGAGGGTGAAACAATTTATATCAGACATAGCAATTTAATGTTGGAGGTTTGTATCTTCAGTCTTAAATAAGCGCCGTTTCGCTGTCACAGCTCCGTTCTTTAGTTCTTTCATTCTTTTGTTCTGTCTTTTGTTCTTCCTAGTTTAACCCTAAAGGGTTGGCATGCACCATTTTCCTGTCTGACTCTCATGCAAGTAGCTTCACTTTACTTTCACATTGTGTTTGTCCGTGTGATAGATGACTGGGAAACATCTCCAGGAAAGTTCACTAACGTATGCATTCATCGTCCTTCCAACCTCCGTCTGTGGTTTACGTCAGTGATGTTGCTTAGAATGAAATGTTGGAGCTCTAGTGCTTCAAACTGTGATTGGTCGAGAGGAGCAAGGCGCTGTATTCCTTTTTTATTGGTTATCAGAGGACCCAGTATAACATCATCTCCTGGGCCCGGATTCACAAAACTCTGAAGTACTAAGAGTTTGTTTCCTGGTGACAACATCCTATGAAAAGTCTTAGAATTTGTTTTTAAGAATTTCCCCTTAAAGTTGGGACTAAAACTGTCACAATTATAAGTTATTCATAAAGTGTCTTAGCTCTGAGCTTAAAAGTGTGGAACAAGAGAAATGTTGAAGCATCAGTAAAGTTTTAACTCACTCGGTGTTAGGCTGGGACTCCCTGCTAATGCACTTTAGGTTTGATTCGGAGCTAAGCGAGGGGATTGTGAATATGAGTCCTCGAGAGACGCGTATGTTACTTTTTAACCAATATCAGCTCCATGTGTGACACCATCACTGCTCTCATTTGGACAAAAAGAGTGAACTTCACTGATAATTTGATCGCAAACCACAAAACGCTCGAGGGGAAAAACGTGTTCTCGACTGACTTCATGCAACAAACAGTTTCAAGAAGGATGGAAAACAAGCTTTTCTGACTCTCAGCCATAAACCCTCATCATTTCACACCAGCCAAAGAGTAGGTGTAAGTACAGTGGCTTGCAAAAGTATTGGGCCTCCTTGAACTTTCTCACATTTTGTCACGTTAGCGTTTTGCATTTTGGTCTCATCTGAGCAGAGCAGCTTCTTCCACATGTTTGCTGTGTCCCCCACATGGCTTGTGGCAAACTGCAAACAGGACTTCTTATGGTTTTCTGTTAACAATGGCTTTCTTCTTGCCACTCTTCCATAAAGGCCAACTTTGTGCAGTGCACCACTAATAGTTGTCCTGTGGACAGATTCCCCCACCTGAGCTGTAGATCTCTGCAGCTCGTCCAGAGTCACCATGGGCCTCTTGGCTGCATTTCTGATCAGCGCTCTCCTTGTTCGGCCTGTGAGTTTAGGTTTACAGTTGTGCCATACTCCTTCCATTTCTGAATGATGGCTTGAACAGTGCTCCGTGGGATGGTCAAGGCTTGGGAAATCTTTTTGTAGCCTAAGCCTGCTTTAAATTTCTCAATAACTTTATCCCTGACCTGTCTGCTGTGTTCTTTGGACTTCATGGTGTTGTTGCTCCCAATATTCTCTTAGACAACCTCTGAGGCCGTCACAGAGCAGCTGTATTTGTACTGACATTAGATGGCCTGGTAAGTGGCCTGTATTTGTATAGCGCCTTACTTACTACTTACCAAAGTGCTTTACATATCCAGTCATCCATCATCCACACACTGGTGATGGCAGCTTCATTGTAGCCACAGCCACCCTGGGCCGCACTGACAGAGGCGAGGCTGCCGGACACTGGCACCACCGGGCCCTCTGACCACCACCAGTAGGCAACGGGTGAAGCGTCTTGCCCAAGGACACAACAACCGAGACTGTCGGAGCCGGGGCTCGAACCGGCAAGCTTCCAATTACGAGACGAACTCCCAACTCTTGAGCCACGATCGGCCCATAGATCACACACAGGTGCACTATGTAGTCATTAGCACTCATCAGGCAACGTCTATGTGCAACTGACTGCACTCAGACCAAAGGGGCTGAATAATTACACACACCCCACTTTGCAGTTATTTATTTGTAAAAAATGTTTGGAATCATGGATGATGTTCGTTCCACTTCTCACGTGTGCACCACTTTGTGTTGGTCTTTCACCTGGAAGTCCAATAACATTGATTCATGTTTGTGGCTGTAATGTGACAAAATGTGGGAAAGTTCAAGGGGGCCCAATACTTTTGCATCCACTGTATCTGATCAACAACCCAGTGAGCAGGAAGCAGAGTCTTTGTGGTAAACAGGCTCCAGTCAGTATATTTGTTTCCCAGTCGTTTACGCTCACAGTCTGATGTTTAACACTCTGGACTTTGCTGTCATCGTCATTACGTCTCATGGTCGTTAAGGACATTTTTAATATGATGAATGTCCTTCATGGCCCTAATGCAGCGCTCATGCTGAACACACTGTGTGTCTGTGATAATGGACTTGTGTTGTTCTCTTTGCTGTGTCCATTGTGCTGTATCATATTCTGCCACCATCATTTCAGAAGAAAGGGATGACAAGAAGCACTGATACTCGTTAATCTACAAATCAAACATTCATATGTAAAATTAGGCTCCAAAGTTGAGCATCCTGGCCTGGACTCAGGAGACGTCATGTGTCTAACAGCAGTGCATGGCTAAGCCTGGTGATTTTATAATGTGTCATCCCTCTCTAAAGTCTGTACGTGACATTTAAATTGTTGGCTTTTTTCAACCTTATGTAAAGAAAAAACCACTTGATCTCTGAAACACTGTTTCAGTCTGCTCGGATCGGCTCTGTTTGAGTAGAAGAGGCATTTTCTTGATGTGGCTCAAAAACAAGAAATGGAGGTTCGTGGAAACGTCAAAGCTAACAGTTTTCATGGAACGTACTGACTTGTTCACATGACAGGACGTGTCTACATTCAACAGACTCTCATCCTGCTCTGTCACATGAAAAACTTCAAAGCTGAGGTCTTAAGTAGTTACAGCAGGTGAAGCAGGTGTGTTTGTGCTGATGTAAAGCCATCGGCGCTCCACCCGTGTCCTCCTTTCTGAAAGGAGTCAGAATGAAAGTGAAACATCAGAGAGACTCTTTAACCACTGAAGACCGAACGATTCCATCTCTGCCCACATCCGACATAAACAACAGTCATTACACTATAGAATAATGGCAGACATGACTCAGAATGAGTTTTGCACTTTTTTGCAGTGGCCATGTTTTTCCTTTGTGTGCCGGCTTTGGCTCGTTCATCCCAGCGTGGATGTGCACACAGTCACCAATCTTGCTTTGGTTGTGTTAGCGCTGCCATCTGAATTTTTTCTGTCAGATGACATTGTTGTGTTTGTCCTCATTAAACATCTTCTGCTGGCATTGATGCAAACCATGATTTGTGAGCCACAGAACAGTACGCACTAATCATTAGTAATGCTCTGCTGCTTCCTTTATTACTGCTAACATGAAGCAGTTTGGTTTGTCTGGAAAATCTGTTCTTCCACAACCTCTAAAGGTCAGTGGGACATGGCAGACCCAGCACTGTTGAAATATTTAATATATACTTATAGAAAGTGCAGCCCTGTGTTTTCATTTGCTTTCTTCTATTGTCTTCTCAACCTTAATCGTTGCCTTTCAGCGTAGTTGTTTCCTTCCATCAACCTACTCTCACTTTTGCCTCCTTGTTGAAGGACCTGGATAAGACCCAGACTGAAATTATGCGGCACCATACCAGCATCAGCGAGCTAAAAAGGAGTTTCATGGAGTCTGTACCGGAGTCTCGGCCCAGCGAGTGGGATAAGCGTCTTTCCACCAACTCTCCTTTCCGCACAGCGAGCATCAACGGTCAGCTCCAACCAGCAGTAAGTCCGATGAGCTCGGTGCAGTGCAGCTCATGTTTGTTTTACTCACGTGAATTACACAAAGTTACCTGTGAAAGCTTTTCCAAGACAGGCATGCTGACGTGTCGAGAGCAATCGAGCAGTGAAATCAGTTCACACCTATAGACTCGCTCATGCTGGCTCACTGACACTCTCGTGTTACTGGGATGCAGGAACATAACACAGACACTGCTAATGTGTTTGTCGACTGGTGATGGTTTTCCTTGCCATGACAAGTCAGAATGTCTGCTTTGAAACAGTCGCTCTGCACATACTGATGCTCTGATTCTAACGCTGGCAAAAATCGGTGTTTAAAAGCTTCAACATTGACTAAAAATGTATCAATCCGGTCTTTTTTCTCTCTACGTTTCCATATAAATGTTAAAAATAATGAACACAAACTAATCAGTCTCCAGAATTCACACTGTGTATTCCTACGTTTATAAATGTTCAAAATAATATGACAGGCGTGCAAGGAGACAGATAATGATCAAAGTACATGTGTACAATATGCTTTTGCCACCTGAGTGTGCATCATAAACAGCTGACACAGTCGCTTGAGTAGAAGTACAGATACTTGTGTTAAAAATAAACAGAGTACTGATTCATCTTTTTAAAGACACGACAAAGTAGAGACTGTGAAATGGACTCAAAGTGTAAAAGAAAAAGAAGCAGTTTTAACACAGCAACATTATTTCAGCTCAGACTGATTCTATGAAGGAGTCCTGAACATCTTTAATGTAGAACAACAGTGAATTAAAAGGGAAAAGTCTTTGTTGCCTCCATCGTGGTCGCGTTTCCTTTGTGTGCACGCCTAAAGAGAAAAACAAACCTGAGATCAGTTGGAAACACGTCACAGCTTCTTCTGTAAGAGCAGGCAGATGTGATCAGCTGAGCTGCGCTCCTTGCTGCTCGCTCCTCTTCTGTGATGTTAGCTTGGTGCTGAAACACCACAACCAGGGTTCATGGCTTTACCAAAATGCTGTTTCTGTCACGGTCAGCGAGGCGAGCCGTGTGGAATTTATTGAAGGACCCAAGATGCGGTCACTTCTGATGTGAGGAAGCTTTATTAATGGAGGTGGTAAATACACAAGGCGAGGGTGGCGAAAAACAGAACTGAGTAAACCTAAACTGGAAAGACTAAGCATAGAAAACAAACCTGAAACCTAAAGACACAAACAGAGATGCAGGGAAAACCACTCAGGATGACGGAGGGGAAAACACAGAGCACACAGGGCTTAAATACACACAGCAGTAATCAAGGGATGAGAGACAGGAGGGCAACACAGCTGGGAGAAATCAGGGCTGACGGGACAGGAAACATAAAGTGAACACACTCACATGAGACAGAGACCTTCAGAATAAAACAGGAAACTCACAGACACAGAGAACCAGACAAGACACTGAACTTAACAGACAGATTCACGAGCAGACAGAGTGACAGCACGGACACTCTGTCTGCTCCATGATATCTCCAAGATATAACAGAATAAACAAGAACATAGAATAATAGAAAGAAACACAAAACACTGAGTCGTCAGACTCAGGACAGTTTCACTTTAACCTCTTGTTAAGGGTTCAATATTGAGGAAGGGGAACAAGAGGTGATCGAAGAATAACCACACTGATCCGGCCGGGTGAAGTCAAACGATGATTTTAATGCACGCGTGGGAAGATCACTACGTACGCAGACCGCAATTGATCTCCAACTTAATCAAAGCATAAACAGATATTTTATACCATCAGGGCTTAAATTTAATGACGTCCCCTCAATGTCAGATCCATTTCATACATAGGTCAGATCAAAACCACAATGACTTTTAACACAGTTTAAAAAGAACATTGTCTCTGTCTTCATAACAGATGTTTCCTGTCAACCTTTCTGATTAGCGCTTCTTCAAAACCGCAGACAATGATTGTGCAGTGAGCGAGCACTTCTGCAAGCCCACAATTACAAGCAAACATGATATCTCACGACCTTACGTGGCACTCTGTGTCACCTCTCACCTACTAACGCTCACAGTCAAACAGAGGCCACTGTCAACCTTTTACTAGAACTATAGATGTAATATAAATTGAATAAATGTTTTAACCAACTGATACTACTTAAAACTCAATACAAGAATATGAACTTATAAAAGATAATAAAAATGACCTGATATAAGTGTTTTGTAAGCATGTATTGCAATTCCTTCTATGTTCTAGTTTCCCTCAGCATGTATCACCTGGACAGTCACGCCAGTGAAGCTTAAGACCCTTAATGAACCGAACATCAACTCAAAAGAAGCACAGATATGCAATGTGTATAAAATAGTTATAACTGCATCTGGAATACAAGGTTAATATGATAACAGTATGCATAAACATCTTAAGGCCATCTTAAAGCTGTCTGTTACATTGTTAAAGCAATGTTGCAGATTATGTTGTGCTGGTAAAATACTTTTGTTCAGCCCCACACTCTGATGATGATACAATAATGGATTGTCTGTGAAGAGTTAAATATTTCTTCCTTTTAGACTCCAATCAGTTATTTACAGTGATTTAAGGTGGAATGACAGGAAACAATAACTCTGTTGAAATGTCTGAAATCTGAAAATGTCAGAAGTACAAAGTGGAGATATTTCAGTTCAGCTGTAAGGAGTAAAAACAACCAGTAAAGATAGCTGAAAACTCTACGTATGTATTTGTACTCTGCTACGTCTCGCCTCTGATCAGAAATATAAAATATGTTTTTAACCAATCAGAATGCGAAAGATTCCAAATTCATGCACTGATCCTCCACTAGGTAGCGCTGTTGGCTTTCACCATGTTATTCCACTGCTTCAGCCCGACTGTGACCACAGGCACAGACACTTCCTTTCCTGTGACGATGGCATGCTTATGCAGGAGAGCATCTCCACGGCTGCGCTTCCATACCCAGTGACAGGCGGTGTGTAGTCTGGTGCTTTGTGGCCGCGCTGCAGCAGGCCAGCACTGTGCAGCGTTTATGAGCAAAGAATATCACGAGCATTGGTCAGCCAGCTCCGCCGGCTTGTGCTCAGCTGCACGCTCACTATGCTTCAAACCAGCAAACCCTAAGACCTTTGCACAGTACTACAGAGCTTTATGCACAGCATGGGTACCAGCAAGGAAAGGCATCTGTGTGAGCTCAGAGAAGGGAAACTCCAGAAGAAATCAATCACACATGATAAATAAATAAATGATAAATGGTTGTGCAGCTGTGTAACTGGGACAACAAAGGTGGAGTGGAGCAGCAGAGTTGACCAGCAGCCAGTGCGTGCAGCACAAACAGTGTGTGGTCATCTTATTGTTCATGCTTGCACAGCTGCCAGATCATTTTGCTGCTTGTAGCTGTTGTAATCAGGGACTGTAGTGTAGAAAGAGTTGATGCAGCTTTCTTCACACACTGCAGAATTTGCTCGTTACAATTACACAGTAACATTAGACAATTACATGACTGTTATGTGAAGGTTTCTGCTTGATCCACTGTTTTACGAATTATAGCAGGACGTCTGTATTTTGGACAGTAATGAAATGTGTGACAGAAGCTGGGAACCACCGTCCTGTACCTTTATTACTGGGCCTTCTTAGGGGTTTGGTGCTTCTGGAAAATTAGCCCACATGGCATGGATAACCCTATCCAAGACCTCGTCCAGGTTTGTTCTCTGATATGAACAAATAAGAGGTGTTGCATGGGTGTGCATGCCTCCACTAAAACCAGTGCTGTTTCAATGAAACAACATCTTTGGTTCAGCTCTGTTCATCAGTAGCAGCACTTAGTTTGGCGCTTTGTCTTGTCCTCTCTTTGTGTAGCTGCTTCAAGCTTTGCGACCTTGCTTGACCTGCCAGCTGCATGGCTCGGTTAATCTGCGCATGTCCACTGACTCTCATACAAACTGCAACAGTTACAAAACCCAAGAAAACAAGCTGAAGGCCAACGGTGCCAAGAGGACTGTTCCCCCACCCCTCGTCATCCTTATTCCTCCACCCTGCATCGTTCCCTTGTTCACTCTTTGTTTCCTGTATCTCTCTCATCTCCCTTTCCTCTGTAGCGTCTGGGCTAATCCCAGCTACGCCATCCTCTTCCCAAGAGCTTCCATCATCCTTCCCTGTGAGTTTATAAACTGAAGGTCAGAGAGGAGGCCAGCAAAGTTACGATATTCCCCTCTGGCTTCTCTTCTACCCACAATGTGAAGATACAGTTTTTATCTCAGAAATTATATTTTACTGAAAATCTAGCCATAGCAGCACTTTTTATTTTATTTTTAAAATATATATATATTTGCTGAAAGCCTCAGGCTAAATTGTTAAATTTCACATTAGTGCTTTGCTGAGTTATGGTATGAAAAAATAAAAATACCCTTCTCATCATCTCAAAGATCTCTAAAGCCCACGATGATGGACCCCGCTCTGTCCCCGTGCAGACTCCCCAGCCTGTGATCTTTTTACGCCGTTTCATCTTTTGGTGACTGGCTCTTACTCACCAATGAAGGATTGTGATGATTTTTTAAATTTACTGACTCGGTGTATTTCACCTGGAATGAGTTCTCTAACGTCCTCTTCAGACTCGTGACACAGAGAATTCGCCTTCACTAAAGGCACTGCAGCGGTCAGCTCTTCCACTCCAGTGCTGTGTGTACACATTCACAGGGATGGGCAAATCTATAATTACTCATAGATTTGGATTATTTAACATGTAGCTGCCTGATGTTAAGTTACTCGTTTAACTGAACTTGTTAAAAATCCCATTTAATTACCGGAAAGTTGCAGTTTCATGAGTGTGAATCCATGAAATCCACCGTATTGCCAAAAGTGTTCATTCATCTGCCTTCACACACAAATTATTTAATTATTCATCCATAGGGTTTATGATGATGTTAGTTCAGCCTTTACTGTTATAATTACCCATAATTCCGTTGTCCATGTACAGTGAGTATAAAGGGCTGTTCTTATTGTGTTTGTGGGAATTCTCGTTCTTCCAGAAGCACCTTTGTGAGGTTGGATGAGAAGGTCATTTATCCCAAAGGTGTTCTATGTGTCAAGCTCTTCCACACCAAACTCGCTCGTCCATGTTTTTATGGACCTTGCTTTGTGCACTGGTGTGTAGTCATGTTGCCACCATGTGACCTACCACTTTGTGGCTGAATTGCTGTGCTTCCCACTTTGTTACAATACCAGTAAAGGAGACTCTGGAATATGTAGAAGTGATTTCACGACTGGACTTCTTACTGAGGTGGGCTCCTATCAGGGCCCACGCTGGGATTCACTAAGCTCCCGAGCAAGACCCATTGTTGCGCACAGTTGTGTAGAAGCAGTACACAGGGGTGGCTGTAGCTCAGGAGGTAGAGCAGGTCACCTACTGATCGGTGGTTCGAGCCCTGGCTCCTCCAGTCTGCGTGTCGAGTGTCCTTGGGCAAGATACTAACCCCAAGTTGCTGAATGTGTGTGAGTGTAGTTAGAAAGCACTGAGTACAGAGTGTGTTTGGGTGAATGTGACATGTTGTACAGAGCGCTTTGAGCACTCCAGGAGAAAAGCGTTATATAAGAATCAGTCCGTTTACACATGCCTAGGTGCTCGATGTTATACACCTATGGCCACGGCATCGACTTGAACGCCTGAATTCAGTGATTGGGGTGGGTGAGTGAATACTTTTGGCAATGCAGGTTATACTGTACTTCAAATCCACAATAATCAGAAGGCAGATCACTCTGAAAAAGCAGGACTCAGAGGCTCTCATGCTGATGTTTTTAATGTTTTTAAATCCAAGCACTTGATTGGGTTTCCTAAGAGCAGATTAACACATGAGTGCCCTTCACATACTCAATAATAAAGACAGCCTGAAAGCTTAGTGTTTTCAGACATGAATCTGTGTACCTTCATCCATTTCCTCTTCCTCTATGATCCTTCCCTCTGTCAGTCGACTGTATTTCACATGTCTGTTCATTGTTATCTGTCTCTCTTGGCCTGCTGCTGAGCACAGCGAGGGAGGCACACTCTGTTTGGACAAAAGGTAAGAGCATGTAGTTTGTCCCCAGAGCCAGGGGGGTACAGACGTGACTGGCTGCTGGAAGAAGATGAGGAGAACAGTGAAGTGGAGTGGGTTGATGATGGTGAAGAAGAGGAGGAAGAAGAGGAGGAACAAGCTCACAGTCACACTCTAAAGGTGGTTGTTAATGAGCCACATGAGAGGGGAAGTTTGGTAACAAACCCAACCAGGCTTAAGCACTCCAGGATGTCCTTCTTTCTCTCTGGCCTGCTGGTGATGGCCCTGACTATGCTGTGGTTAGCCTTTATTTAAAAGCTCCTCAGCATTCATCCTGCACGGTCCCTCGATTATCTAAAGACTGCTTGATTCGAGGGATGTTTACTTTCTGCTCTATCCTCAATATTCCCCAAAGAGACACAAATAAACTACAATTGAAGGACTGATAAAGAAAAGCTAGTCTGTGCAGCATTTGGTGAACATCGTGGACATGAGGCACTTCATGCTCGCTCGGCCTTTTCAGGGTCTTTCTTAGAAGGATGGTGGTGGACTGTTTCCAGACAGACATGACTAATGCATGTGTAATTTCTTAAATGATGCTCTTTCTATAAAACCTGCATGTTTCAGGCAAAAGGTTAATGTCCTGACCCATTAATCTTTAAATCAGACGTGTATAATGATACTGAGATGAGCCTGTGTGAAACTGACCTTTTTCCTGTGGATGTTGGAGTGAGCTCTACTAATTTGGAGGCTGTGGCTTTACCTCGCATTCTTTGTGTCGAAGTGTGTGTGTGTGTGTGTCTGTGTGTGTG